CTACAGAGCAATCTAAAACACTGTGGCCATGTCTACACCATATCACAGACGGTCTCAGAAACAGCAGGAAGCACGGGCAGGAGGATGGGCTGCAAAGAGTTGGGATACCACCAGCCTGCCAGAAGTATTAGTTGGATTGTTCCAAAACTGAATTGAAGGAGTTTATACAAACAAGCAATGCAGATGGATGCTAAATTTGGCCTCAAACCCCACACCAAGATTGACACTTACACAAAGTCACTCAGACAGTTCATGGGAGAACTCACAGTGAATCCAAATCCCCAGTCAAGAGACCAATCCAAGCACAAAATCCTAAGTAAAAAGGGATGATATGAACTTCTGTACAGTCGCCAGACTTATGAATGGAGCAAAATGTGTTCATTTTCCTTGTGCAACAAACAATAGACAATCTCTTTCCTTCCCAAACTCTATCCTCAGTTATATGAAATCTTTTGTTTTCTTATCAACTGTTTTTGTATATACTTGTGCATGCTTTTTTTTTTCTTTCTTTTAAAAATATAATTATATCTAGCATAGCAACTTTGAAAATGAAAATTTGAGAAACATATTGAGTGTTGAAGTGAATATTATTTTCAATATTTTACTTTGGGTGGATGAAAAGGAAATAAAGAGCAGGAAGTAGAAACTTTTCACAGTTTAATCTAACAGTAAGACTAAATTTTATTTTTTTTACTCCAAAACCATATTTCTGACAACTTGATTTTAAAGGAGTTGTTATATGTTAGAAAACTCTTTCATCACAAACCCTTGCCAACACAATGAGACTGTAAATTTCAGCTGCTGAAGAAAAGGAATTTTCCATCATCGATTTTTAACTTTATCGTGCAATTAAAGATTTCCATTAAAATGAAGCAGCAATGTAAAGGTATACAGTGGAATTATATAATGTACTTTTATTCAATGCTAAATATTATTGCAGATCTTGCAACTACATACTGCCATGCCTCTCTTGCTTCTTGAGGAACTTAAGACAGACTACTTTTCTCTCAGTCCTTTAAGAAGCTTTGTTCTGGGAAAGATGGGAATAAATAAGTAAACCAAAGAACCACAGAAAGATAAAATACGAAGGCAGTGGGTAAAGGGAGTTACCATAGTTCCTATAGCGCTGTGGTATAGCTGAGATGTTAAGAGCATGCATCAGAAATAGGGAAACCAATATGCTATAATTAAAGACACTCCGCGCTAGCAGCAGCCAACCTGCCTTCATGTTTGTCTAATGAACAGATACACAGGTTTCAGGCCTGCTGGTGACATTCACACAAGATGATAAGTAAGAAAATAGAAACAGTTTTCACTGAAAACAAAGATTTTAATGAAAATGTCCATGTTTAATTAAGAAGAAAAAGAAAAAGAAAAAGAAAAAGAAAAAGAAAAAGAAGAAGAAAAAGAAGAAGAAAAAGAAGAAGAAAAAGAAGAAGAAAAAGAAGAAGAAAAAGAAGAAAAAGAAGAAGAAAAAGAAGAAGAAAAAGAAGAAGAAAAAGAAGAAGAAAAGAAAAGAAAAAGAAAAAGAAAAGAAAAAGAAAAAGAAAAGAAAAGAAAAAGAAAAAGAAAAAAAAGAAAAAGAAAAAGAAAAGAAAGAAAAAGAGAAAAAAAAAAGGAAAGAAAAAGAAAAAAAAAGAAAAAAGAAAGTACACTATAAAAGAAAAAAAGGAAGGAAGGGAAGGGACGGAAAAGGGAAGGAGGGAAGGGATGCCTTTCCGGTGCAGGTCATAGTTCCTTTCAGGAGTCCTTAGGGAACTTTCCGGAAGGGAATTTAAGGCCGTTAGATTCTGGGTATTCCGGGAAGGTGTGTGGGCCTTTCCTCCGAAGTGGATTAGGGAAGGGAAGGGAAGGGAAAAAGGGAAGTTAGTTCAAAATGCAAACTTTTCTTGTTTATTTATTTTGTATAAGTCCTTTAATTTTAGCATTTAGGGGTTTTGAACAAAAAGAAAACAGAAAAATAGAAAGTGAAAAAGAGAGAAACAATGCTTTGCTAGAAAGGAAACGGTTTTCTGGGACTGTCTTTACCTGACAGAAATTTTATCATTCTCTTCATTTGCTTGTACGTTACCAGTTCAACACCAATCCTTTCAAGTTGTTAAATTACACAGCTCTTCTGGTTTTTAGGTTGTAAATGCCCTGAATCAAAGCCTGTGTCAGTGGGGGCTTGACAATATTCCTGGCATGCACATTACACTGAGAGGTTCCTGGCTGCTCCTTTAACATATATGTCCATCATTATTTGTTCAGCTTCTTCTAGGATCAGAGCTTACTAAATAACAAAACAAAAAGCAAGGAAAACAAAACAAGAAAATCACAGACTAAGGCCACATTTCCTTATAACTGTACTTTATACTGTGTTATTCAGAAAGTTTATTAGAGGTACTACAGAGGTTAGTTAAGGTACTGATGCATTACTGGTAACCTATGTCTAATATCATCCCTGTATTCAATATAGTCCTGCTGTTGTGCTAACAGGAATATTAAAGGATAGGTGAACTGTGTACTCTTTTGGGGTATGGCACTGGTTGTTTTATTTTATTTCTGACTTTTTTTTTTTTATCCAATGAATACCTAAACATCACTGCAGCTCTAAAAAGGCAGATCTGAACGATGCTAATACTGCATGTAATGTTTGTTTGTTTGTTTGTTTGTTTTTGCAATCCAAGCTTAGAGGTATATCCTTATGTAGCATTACTTTGTTCTGGTTGGTGTACTGGGTCACCAGGCGTCAGTTAGGGTATTGCTGTATAGTGATGGTTTGTTGTATTTAAGTTATTTATTTAATTGATTGTGATTTGGGTGTGGTCTAGTAGAAATCACAGAAAATTAACCTCCTGCTAAAAATGAAGTAATTTCTCTTTAGGGGTTTAGGACCCCATCTGCAAAATATAGACACAGTGCTTTATTTCACTTTATTGGGGAGAAAGACTCAGCTTGAATATTTAGTGGGAACCTGGAACCTCAGATAGTGACATTGAAATTTTGCTGATCAAAGTGTTAATCATATTGTCTAGTGGTCTGTTGAGCCACTGCAGAATACTGTGTGTATGGAAATAAGATTATAAACAAGTGACTCTACATTCAAAATAATATTTGAATTCACATCCACAACTACAACAGTAGACAAGATTCCCTCTAATAACAGAGAAAGGGAGTTGGGTGAGGGGTATAGGACAGACAGTGAAAATAAGTCCAGGCTTTCATTTTCATAATTATATCCCATCATTCATGTCCAATTTCAGAAGTGTTTAATAAATGCTTAATAGAAATTCTAAAAATTAAAATTAAAATTAAAAAGTTAGTACAACTTTTTATTTCTTTTTTTGGAACGTTTCTTGCTATAACTGATTATACATGTAATTATGAAAAAAAAAAGATTAATTTTCTATCAGTTTACTGATAGATAGATAGGATGAATTAAGATGAATATATGTTTTTTTCCTATGACATCTCACTGGAGACTGAAGTTTAATAATACCAGTATTTATAATTTTTGAATTTTCTGATCCATTTGCCATAAACTATTTCCATAAATTAAGCTTACTAGGGGCAAGATGTGTTTGAGGCAATAATGAGGCATATAATGAGGCAATATTACTCTTTTCCATGGTTTTGCATTAATATATTCATTTTACTTTAGATGGCCTCGTATTCCTGGAGTTGGCATTTCTGATTTTATAAATCCTAAAGTAGTTGCACATATTTAAGGATTCCAAGGCACTTTACTGACTTTGCTATATTTAGCATATTTTAATTTAAGCAATTATGCTCTGCCTATCAGGAAACTTCCCTGCCATTTCACTTAGTTTAAACTACTACTCACTACTGCTGGATGGTGTTCATCTGCATTTTAAGAGGAAAGTGCCAGCTCCTGGCTACAGTAAGCATCATTGCTCCATAGAATTGTATTGATTTACACCAGCTCAGGATCTAATCCATATTTTCTATCTCTGTGACATGATTTAAGCTAAATTACACCCTATAAATCTATTCTCAGTTGTTATTTTCTGCTTCTCCAGCCTCCAATAGGAAAGCTTGTATTCAGGTTTCACAGCCGGGCAACAAAAGGCTTCCCCTGGGTACTATGCTACTCTTTTAAAAACTAAAGCACATGGGCTATGGAGGCACAGCATTTAAATAGCAACATTCATTACCCAGGCTGAAGGAAAAAAGGTCAGCTCCAGCAGTAATCTCATGCTGTAAATTTGCTAGAGAAACAACATGCCAGTAAAAGTACACATTAAACAATATTGTCGGCACTAGGACACTCGAGCCCCACCAGCATTATCAGTAGTGTTAAGCACAACATTCACGGGAGCCCTTTGTGCTGGGAAGGAAACCACCGCACGCTGCCCTGACGGCCACCCCACAAGTTCCGCTGAGGCTGTGGGGTCAGGCCCAGTCACCCTAAACATTCACATATGCATATATATACATGTCTATAGACGTATACAATCCGCAGTGCCCCACGAGGAGGGCGCGCAGCGCACTTCAACCCCGGGGAAGAAGGATCCCCCATGAGATTGCGGGCAGCAGCCCCCGCTGACAGATTTTTCAGCACGTTGCAGACGGGTTGGCCGGCTGCCTGGCAATCCACTAGGGCTGACACATTTTGGGCAGAGCAGCGGTACGGAGGGAGCCATGTGGCCGATGTTAGTAAACATTATCCCGCACAGTCTGGCGTGCCACCGCCGGCAGCGGGAGGGTGAGCGGCTGGCGGGGCGCAGGGCCCGGCCGGGGCGGCCGAGCTGCCCGGGGCTGCCAGCCAAGGCCCGTCAGCCAGCAGCTGCTCCCGTTTCTGTGGCAACCGTGGCCGAACAATGGGCTGCAAATCCAGCGGGCGCCCTGCGTGGAGAGGGCCTGATGGAGATAGAAGGCCCAATACCAGCACCCCTAACCCCCCAGATAAACAATATGCCCTGAAAAAAAAAAAAAAAAAAAAAAAAGGAAAAGAGCATAAAACACTCCCCCACTTCAGGCACGTCTCCCCTCGGTACCTGGACGTTCAGGCATATGGGGTCCTCCATTTTGGTTGTGCCTCACTAGCCGCGGAGGCGGAGGGGCCAGTGTAGGAGTAAGGGGTGGGTTGCACAGCATTAAAGTAACGGGTTCCATTTCAGTGGAAATTTGTTGGGCTCTGAAGGAGTTTTGTCTCTCATGTCATGATTTTAGACCTGGGTGGCAGAGTCTGGGTTTTGGTATTTACCTCAGTAATCTCAGAGGCAGAGGGGCTTCTGGGCATGGCTGCCCCCATGGGGACAGCCCTCTCTGTTTTATGCCCAAACTGTGCTTTCAGTCTGATTCTGCCATCAAAAGTAACCCTTCTTCCCACAAGCAGCGAAAAAAGGGCTGGATTTAATACTCCTCAAGTCCCTCTTGACAAGTAACTGAGCAGTCTTGAGCTTCCCACTCAGAAGCCTGAAAAAGCAAAGGCAGACTCCCTCATGCACTTGCAGCATGAAGAATTTCTCCCACTTGTAAGGCCTCTACAGCTGTGCACAAACAAGGAAATCTTTGCAGGAGGAGTGGACACAGTCATAAACTTGGAAAAAATACAGCAGCAGCCTCTGTGTGCAAATAAAAATACCATCCTCTCCTAGTAAGCCCAATATTAATTTACTGAAGTCTTTTCCTACCAACCATGGTATCCCAGAGAAGCTGTTCCTTAACAGGTGTCAGAAGCTCCTCTTTCACCTATGTTGTTGCACACAGATAACAAACCCCAGCAGCCATTTGGACAGCAATCCTAGATTTTTTAGAAGGTTTATACAGATAAGCAGAACTTTTCTGGAATATATTTGAGTCTCCTGTCCTCTATCAGGCACAAAATCTTGAGAAAGTACAGTTTCATAAAACGCAGCCCTTTCTTCATACCAAATCAGTCTATTGGGACTGATGTCTCTTGTATAAGACTCCTGTGGATTCTCATACAACTTTTAAGAGCAATTGATTCTTATTACACAGCATAGAAACATTCACGCTTTCCTCAAAACCTCTTGGGAATCTGTTAGCCAGCAGAAATCTGTAACCTCATATAATTATGTTGACTTACCAAGTGCCAACATAGGAATTGTGTGTCATAAAGGACAAATGTCCTTGTGTGATAAGAAAGGACTGTATGGAAGTGACTTCGCTTTTTCTGCAGGAGTGCGTGTATGTATGCAAGATGACAAGAGCCTAACCTATGGCATGGGAGGAAGTAATTAAGAAAAATCTCCCAAATGCCAACCATGACATCTCTATGGGTAATATGTCATATGTAGTCCTATGAAAATCCAAAAGAGAGCTAGAGCTTTTGAGTTCAATATGTATGTGCAATGAATACTTATGATCATGATTTATAAAATCTAGTAATGCTCTTAAAAATGTTCTGAACCAAAGGAAGTTCAGTGTACGCAAAGTGTGCTAATTATGAGATACCGTACATATGTCACCACATTTCAGTCAGCAAGTAATCTATTGACTATATGTGCATTTTGCATCTGAGGTGCAGTTCTGAAAAGCAGGGAGGAAAGGAAGTGAGATGTTACAGCTTTTACAGCCTTGACTGGCCACATTCTTGTTGCATAAAGGAAACAAAGAGAATGAGAAAGAGAGTCCCGTATTGAAGTAGGGGTGAGAGACAAAGCTGAGAGGCAAAACTGGAGGCTGGATTTCCTACCTGTCTCTGTATGTCAGCTGGGACCTGTAAACGGCCAAATACAACAGGAGAAATCCTTTGACCTTGGAAAAACTCTTCTGGGCACCACACATGAATATGAGCTGCAATTAATTAAGTTAGTTGGCATAAAGACAAAAGCTTTGTTAGAAGAAATCTAGAATTAATTGGGTCTGATTATTATAGAAGTAATTGAAAGACTGAAGTTGAGAGACCTTTTTTTTCCACTTGGACATGAAAAATTAATGGTTATATTTATTACAATAATTTCAATAGGCTGTCTCTGGACCTAAGTCAAATTGTCATGGTGTGGTACATCATATATGGTTGCTCCTGGCTGTTTGCATTGATAAAACTAAGTCCCACGCGTTCCAGCACAGGGTGGCCACATCCAGATTGCTTGTTGGGAGTGCTCCCTGGCTGCTGCTAATCCCCAGCTGTGCCTGAACACAGCTGTGGAAACGCTAGTTGAGTCAAAGCCCTGCCAGAAAGCGTGCTGATCATGTAACAGTGGGGACAATCACAGGCCACTGCTAATGTCTGTGCCCTGGGCCTCTTACTAGCTCATAGATAATCTGTCAGATCCAAATGCTAAATCAGTAGGCTTCAGGAGAAACTGGGTCAAGCTCAGTTTGTCATTCTGTATTGAATTTTCTAATCACTGGTTCTTAATTTCCCCAGCTCTAGTTGCTTATAGTACAATTATAACATTGCAAAGCAAAAGAAGAAAGAAATAGGATTAGGAAGTTCAGAGCAAACAAAATCAGGCATTCCTGAATATGTACAAGGTGGGTCACTGTCTGAAGAAGGCATGATTAAGCCCTACTTTAAGTTAATTAATTTCTTTGTAAGAAAATTGGTGATGAAAGACAGCAGGAGAGGTGGAGAGAAAGTCTGGGAATCAACAGCATCTACTTTGAAGCCACAAAACCTTTGTCTTCAATAGCACTGCACAAATCACTCAATCCTTCTGCCTTTGCTGCCTACTTCAGCGGAGGAGTAGAAGGCTCTGCAGAGCTTTTAGCACTCTGAAATACCAAGGAAGCCTGAATGTGGAAGAGGACTCATAACTCCACTGCAACTAGTCAAATATCATGGATTTACTGAAGGCCTAAAGCTTTAAAAGTACTGTTCTGTTTGGGAATGGGGATATACATGTAAGGAAGTTTGGTAAGCCCTGCACTGCATTGCATATTTAGGTGACAAAAAATAGTAAAAGTGCCCTCCTCAGAGGAATAACTCACTGTGGTTTACGTCCTGATTTACGACTGAATGAAATGAAAAGAGATTCCTGCTGTTTTACATGCTCTTATTGTTCACAATTCACAGGTACTTGGTAGGACTTGTGCTGTTGTCCAATTGTTATTCCTCCTTTTTCAGTCTTTGTAATCTTTTACTCTGGTTTATTTGTCAATACATTGCACATAATGCTCCTAGTAACAAAGTACAATAAAAATCAAAATATAATGGATTGGCTGTAGTTAGAATAGAAAACAGATGGAATATGTTTCAGCATGCTTGAAAAATTAACACAGAATATCTAATAACTAGCATTATTCTCATTATTCTCATTTTGCCATTCATACCAGAAATAGGCATTAAATCAATAACCTTGATGAGCATCTGTAGCTCTGTGAGGTGTGTCTCACTGCCCAAGTTCTGGGATGGACCCCCATGCATTGAGGGAAGTGATTCCAGAGTTTTTCAAGGTTCTACTGGTGCTGTAATTACTGCAGTATCATTACTTAGTTTATTAAGTCAAGCAATTTGGAATGACATTTCCTGCTTTTGTTTTCATGTTATTTTCATTTTACTACATTATTTTCATTTTACTTTCTTCATCTACAAACGTATGCCCAATATAACATGAGGATAAAATTGTAAGGCTTACCCAATTACTACTGCATTACACCTGTAAGAACAATGCAGATACTGAACATTAGACAAATTACTAATAGAGCAATGCAGCAGTTCTTTCTTTAGCACAAGATTTCTCTAGGAATGTTATTTTATTGTATTTCATTTACTGCTTGTTTGTTTAAGGGGGAGGAACAGACATTGCTGTATTTCAGTTTGATTCAGCAAGCGTTCTGGCCTCAATCCAGCAAATCATTTACACATGTGCTTAACTGTAATGAAATAAAATTTTAGTTCATAGTACTGCCTATGTATTTAACATATAGCATGAGCTGGACCAGAATGATGAAAAACCTTAAAAATAAGGCCCATGCATTTTTACACACATATTAAAAAAAAAAAGATATTGTTAAAAGGGGCATTTTCTACTGCTTGTGCTATGAAAATACTGTGCAGCTCCTCCCACCCCTCCCCAAAAAGCCAACTAACTTTTTTTGATCTGACAATCTGACAGCTATATCCTGTGTAACTGCCAGTCTGGCCCTTTTTAAAAATATCCTATTAAGTTAAGTGGAAGCTTTGCCTGAGCAAGGTATGCAGAAATGAGTCACAGGGAGTATATGGAATTTTCTCAGGACTTAGGGCTGTGCCTGTTGTAGCCAAAGGCTAAATCTCTGGTGGAGCTCAGTAATGTTTCTCTGAATACATTCACTTTCTGTACCAATCTCTGTTTTAGTGGGAAACATAAAACCAACATGAAAGTCATGCTGAAACATACCACAAAGAAAGGTGTGTTCTTAACTTGGGTTACCTAACCCAGGTTAGATAATTTAAGCTGCGGTTGCACAGCAATTTAAACTAATCTAAGTCTTGCCTGCCAGGGAGGGTGGAACCACGTCAGCCAACAGTTAGGTGGGCATCAGCCACCGCTGAGCCCCAGCCCCAGTTTCAGCTAGCAGCTCAGAGAGACAACGTTACCTGGGTTAGCTAAAATGGAACATGATGCACAAACCCCATTGAAAGTCTTCATTGTGTCCATGTAAAGACATTGCTGGATATTTATGAGTTTTTTCAATGTAGACCTGGAGAACTTTTTAGAGACACAGCAACTTACTGGAGCTGACAGCTGACCACAGTAAAAAAAAAATAAAAGACACAGCTTTTTCTTCAGGAAGCTTACAATCCATATGCTATATTTCCACTGTAAAGACCTTAAGCTTCTAGCTGAAAGAATAAAAGAGAAAGAAAAAAATAATAATAAGTTGACTTTACTATTTATGAGAAGCTCCCAGTGTAAAATATTAATAATAGTAATTGTTTTGCAGGTTAGTTGTCTAGGGATTTATTTACTTAAATGTTTGTTTTCTTGTTTCTTCCAAGAGCAGAAACAACCCTCTTGAATTGCTCTGCAGTGAATCAATCTTTTTTTTTTTTTCAACAGCAGCATCAAAAATGACTAGGTTTCATTCATTAACAGAATAATACATGTATTTTGCGCAGTAATGTTTGTTTGAATTACAACTGTGTAGAATTCAGAACAAAGGT